AAAAAGCCAGACATGTCCGGGAAAATCTGGATGTATGGTAACCCTACATTTTCTAAAAGGATCAGAGACAGAATTTATTGTTGGAATAAATCTATAGTGGGTATTTTCTACCAAGCACCTGAATGAAAGGAGAAAAATATTAATGACTAAGCTAATAGAAATGGGAAAAGTATATGAAAATAGCCAGCTGAGAATATGCTCAACAGTGGGTTATTGCACCAGCCATTTCAGACCTGGAGATGGATTAAAATCCTGGCCCCTGGTTACATGGCTATAAAGAATTCATAAATCTCATGCAGCTATGGATAGGAATCGGGGACTAGACCTACCAATCCTGAGGACTCTTGTGCCCAGTGTCCCATGGAGTGGAGTTTGCCCTCACTCATTTAGGGGGACTGAGGTTGTAGTCCTTCATAACAAATGAACTTTAACGTTTTTACAAAACCACCACGTTTCAGCACAGATGGCAGACCCATTAGTGGGGCAATGTGTGAAGAAGTTGGCACATTGCTGGTGTCCTATGGGCAGCATGGACAGGTTGCTCTACGATTTCCTTTTCTAGGCTCTGGCATGTTGGAAAAAAATGAAGATCTTAAGCTTTCTTTTAGGAATCTCACTTCCCAGTACAAATCTCCCCTATTGAGTCCATATACGTACCCTCCTTCACCTCCTCCGCCCACTGGTTTCCTTTCTTCTTTTCGGTCCTTTTCACTGATGTCACCACTGCATTCTCAGGTCTGACTTTCCACTCCCTCCCTTCCTCTGCAACCCCTAAAAAAATCATGCTCGAAGTGAGACTCTGATGCAGTAACCTAATTTGCAATGTGCTATTTGATTTCAGCAGCTCAACAGGATCATCCATTTGCAGAACTACACACTTTCCTGCCAGCTTGGCAGGACAAATGTTAACCTCTTACTTCAAAGCCCAGTCTTTGGTGAATACTGATTGTTTAACCATAAATCAATCCCCAAATGAAACTAACAGCATAATTCCATATGGAAATTTCTATAGAATATAGTAGGGTGAAATCAATAGACTTCTACTGACAGTTAATAGGTACTGTTCTAAAAACCTATAGAATTTAACCAGGGAAAAGGAGTGTGGGCTTCCCTTCCTCTGCTAAAAGAGGAGGGGACCTTCCTTTTTCTTCCTAACTTGGGTAAACAGCACTCTTCCAACTGCTCCCCCTCTTGACTGTTGTAGTGAGAACTCCCCTTTCTTGTTCCATCTATTTTAACAACTGCATTTAAGAGAGATCCTTTTTACAGTTATTTTGTAACCATCCTATACCATTCTTTAGCAGAGATATAAATTTCTATTAAATCCTATAGGGTGGCTTTAAAAGGACCAGCTGCTATGGGAAGGTTATTATCTATTACATTCTATAGGACTTTTTCATAAAGGATTTCTGATCATTTATATACTCGCAGTTGTACATGCTTCTCCAACATGCACTGTGCTTTGCAGAACCCCACATCTGTAGTTCAAGCGGAAATACATTGAAAAAAGCTTTAAAAATAAATGTATAGCCCATAAAAAACAGAACTTGCTCATACCAAGTCAACTCTTTCACTTGTACTTATAGTTGGTACCACTGTAAGTTGCACTAGTTGCTGTCTGTAGGCTCTCAGCTTCCCTGGAAATAGTTTACTCTTAAATATTTAACGATCATTTGTTTCTTTAGGAGATTCAGCTCCCACTCATTCTTTGAGGAAAAAAAAATTCTCTCTCAGCATCATTCATATGTAGGCCTCATGGTGTTTGGAAGACTTTTCAATAATCTTTTAAGCTATATTTGGGGGGCAAGAAGAGATTGCAAAATTTACTGGAGTTCATGAACCATTTTCTCCTGGAACTGATTGAGTGTGTGGGTTTTTTTTTCTTTTTAAGTTAGATTCAATTTAAAAAAATGATCTGTAGATAACATGCTATGTGCATATTATGGATAGACTAATACTCCAGAACCAAACCTAACTCAGATTTTGTCCTATGTATTGTGGATGCTTATATATAACATGTTTTTTCATTCGATTTTTCTCTCTCTGCTTCTTATCTCTCAGTCTCTTTATGTTAGTTTTCACTCCGCTCATCCCTTACTCTATTTTTCATCCCTTTTAAAGGTTGAATTGTTTTTTTTTCCATAGTCTCTCCCAGTGGAAGGTAATCCCAGTAATGTTTTACTTAAAGTCCAGCTTTCAAACCTGTGATGTGAAAATGGGTTCAAAATTAGGCAAATGCTCTGTGTATGTGTGACTTACGAAGATGCTGGCCAGTGAAGCTGTGTTTTAGATACTTATGCTTGAATTCTTGCCAGTGAAAACAACTTTGAGGTTTTATTGCTGTCTGTTGCTAAAGGAGGAGTGATATTTCTACTGTTCTTACCTTTTGGCCTCTCCGGTCACCTTACTTCATTCTTATTAGTGGCGCTGTGGTGCAGTTTTGTTGTTGTTGTGAAACTAAATGAAGCATAGATGGCTTTTGTCTATCAATTATAGACTAGAGCAGACTCATAAATCATGGTAAAACAAGGATTTTTTTGAAAATTGGCTATATGGACATGCACTAAGGCAACGGTGCATTAGTATCTAGTATTTTCTGATATTCTACTGTGGACAAATGTGATGCATGAAGGATAGTAATTGCTATGTGTAAATCAAGCATATTTCTATGCTAGCATCATAATCATTCTTTACATTTTTAGAGTGCTGCAGAACCCTGTATGAACTCTGCATTGCACACAATGTTATGTGATTTACAACTGGTAAATGTACAGAACAGTAAAATAGCAGTACCCACCAGGTACGATTCCAGTCTCACTCACGCTGGTTTTTATACCATTGCAACCTCATTGCCGTCAATGAATTCCTCCTGATTTACACCAGTAAAGTAACATGATGAAATATAGAGCACAAAACCAACCATCATAACTGGGTACTAATTTAACACCTTTGAAGCAGTCTTAACAGAAAAACCAGAGA